CTCTCTCTCTCTCTCTCTCTCTCTCAAATGCTTTTCCTCAAATGCTTTCGCCCTCATAAAGGTAACATAAGAGCAGGGCAGGCTCTTCATTCATCACAGTAAAAATGCACAACTCTTCATATCAAAATGATTAAGACTCTGGGACAGCAGAGCATTAGGACAAACATGGGATGTTAGGGAGCTCTGGTGGCTTAATGGTAAGTGATTGCTCTGCCAGGGCAAATGTACGTGGTTCAAATCCACCAGCTGTTCCACAGGAGAAAGATGGGCAAAGAGTTGAGTTCTATGTGACTGCTTGACAAACTCCCAGAAAAGCCCCCTCTGGGGTCTTCTAGTTGCACAGAGAAGCTTCCAGCCCATGTTCCCTGGTTGGCATCTGAGTTCTCTTTCTCTGTTAGAAGCCACTCTGGGGGAGTCACTTACATGCTGTTATCAGCACACCATTCAGCCTTCTTCCCTCCACTCCTGGCCTCTGCCTCCTGCCTTCTGTCTTCAGTGAGATCCCTGCCACCATGAAAATACGTGGGCCAGTTGATCTCAAACTTGAGCATGCCTCAGACTGTCCCAGGCAGCTTGCTAGAGCCCAGGGTGCTGGGCCTGACTCAGCCTTTGTGGGCTGAGGCCAAAGAAAGAGCATTTCTAACACGCTTCAGGGGGACTGCTATTGATGCTGTTGTTGGTCCATTAGGTTTCATGTCCCACTGATGCAAAAACAGCCCAAGTGAGCCTGGCCGGGCCCATGGCCTGCTGGGCATGTGAGGGCAAGTTCTGGGACCAGCTGCCCCTAACAGAGAAGTAGTACAGCCCAGCTTTGCTTTTTCTTGCAGGGTGGTGAACCAGGAAGAAAAATCCTTTGCTATCGGGGTGCAGTTTCTACTGATGCGTCTGCTCGGTGAGTGTTGGAGATCGCTCTGCTTCATAAGAGGTTGCCCCAGGACACTGAAGGGCTGGGGGCGGGGGTGCAGAGTAGGGGACAAAGAAGCCCCATCTCATCCCTGTTGTACAGACAACGTCTCTGCATGCAGAGATCAAACACCACACACAGGCAGCTTCCCTGAAGACTTGAGAGCAGAGTCTGTGCATGGTGTCAATTCCACGCCCCAGTGTGTAAGAAAAGAGGAAAAACAATTGTAACTAAGAATGCCCTGGAAAGAGTTAAAAGCAGGTATTTGTCAATCTTTCTCCAAGAACTTTTGCCACAGGGACAAAAGTATGCATTCCGGCCCCAGGCAGAACAACAAAAGAGCTCAGCCCTGGCTTGCTGTCCATTTACAAAACGGCCTCCTCCTGCACCATTGGTGGCAAGAAGCTGCACTGCGACCCCAAAGGCACACTGTTTGAATCCACCAGCTGCTCTGCAGAAGAAGGCTGGACAGTCTCCTCCTTCCATTTTCTGCCTCTGAAAACCCACTGGAGGGTCAGCTCTGGGTCGGTTCGGACTCAATGGCCAATAACAATCTCCTGTGGGAGTCTGACACACGTTTCCTGTGTGTAAGTTCTCTGTTGGCAAGCCTGCCCGCCTGCAGGCAGCCCAGTGTCCATCAGGGGCGTCTGCCCCACAGGAAGGGCACAGCCAGCGCTCCCTGGGGACACAGGCCAGGCACTCCCCCTGGAAGGGGACACACACAGTGGCCATGATTGTGGGTGTGGACAGCCTCTTCTTTCTCCGGCAGAGCAGCTGGGGGCTTTGTGAACCACCAGAACCACCACTGTTTTTGATTAGCAGATACATTTTCTTTAAAATTGTTAACTCAAGTGAAAGTTTACAAATCCTATAGGTGTTTTATTCACTCCCTTATACACATTTTGTCTTATAACATTAATTCCATTTAGATAATGCAATTCGTTGCATTGTCTGATGAACCTTCGATTGTACATTCATCCCTTTGTCCAACTTAATTCATGTTCACTTTGTTTCTTCTCCCTTCTGATTCTTGGCAACTACCTGAGGATGATTGTATTTGTGTGTAAATCTTTCCTTAGTTTTTCGGTGAGTTTTTTTTTTCTGGGTTTTTTGGTTTTGGTTGGTGTTTTTTTTTTATGATTGTTGTTGTTGTGTACCACAGAGTCAGAACTGACCCATAGCTGACCCTCCAGTGGGTTTTCAGAAGCAGTTAATCACACGGAAAGAGACTGCCCCTCCTCCCATGGAGCAGCTGGTGGCCTCAAACTATGTGCCTTCAGGATTGCAGCACAGCTTCTTAGCACCAGGCCCCCAGAGCTCTCTTCATAGAATTGTTGTTGTTTTTGTTAAGTGCCATCAAGTCGAGCATGACTCACAGCGAACCTATGAACAAAAGACCTAAACCTTGTTCTAGAAATATTGGCATTTCTCTAAGTTCATAGTGTTTCCAGAGGCATATGGTTTAGGAAGTGGATGCCACTCCTGCTTCCAACTTCATAGGAGTTGTTGTTGTGTGCCGTTGAGTCACCTGCGACTCATAGCGACCCCTATGTACAACAGCCCTAAACCCTGCTCTGTCCTGAGCCAATCTTATTGTTTCTGACACACCTACCCCCATTACCTTAGTCACTGAATCAATTCATATCATCGAGGGTCTTCCTCTCCTGCATTGTCCCTCTGCCCTCCCAAGCATGATGTCCCTCTCCAAGGCCTGGTCCCTCCTTGCAACATGTCCAAAGTATGTCAGCTAGAGCTTCAGAATCCTTGCTGCCAAGGAGCAGCCTGATTTAATCCTCTCCAGGACAAACCTGTTCTTTCTCTTAGATTTTTAATGTTAAATCTCATTGTTGTTGTTATGTGCCGTCGAGTTGCCTGTGACCCTATGTACAATAGCCCTAAACCCTGCTCTGTCCTGTGCCAGTCTCACTGTCTCCAACACACTCACCCCCATTACTCCAGTCACTGAATCAATCCATATCATTGAGGGTCTTCCCCTCCTGTGATCTTAGAAGATGTCCAGCTTTGGAGAAGCCTCATGGGGCATCTATAAGTCCAAGTGGATTTCTTTTGGCTCTAAGTTTTTGGAAGGTGGTGCAGTTTGCATTACTAGCCTGCAGATGGCAGCCTGAGTCCACTTAGTGGCACACGGAAGAAAGGTCTGGTGCTCAGATTCTGTAAAGATTAAACTCACAATAGTCAGTTCTGGCCCAGACTGACCGTCTGTCCAGTTTCTGAGACTGGAAACCTTTACAGGAGGAGGCTGTCCATATTTATCCTACAGAGTAGCTGGTGGATTGAAACTACCAACCCTTCAGTTAGTCACAGAGCATGCTATACTGTGCCATCAGGGTGGCAAAGCTTATAGTAAAAAAAAAACGCTATCTGGCAGCTCTACTCTGTCTCACAAAATAGAGGTTTCTGACATGAGTCAGACACAGCTCAACAGTGAAGAGTTTCTTATTTAGTTCAGCTCTCGTTTAAGACACAGCCAGCTCCAGGCCTTACCTCTCAGCCTGTGAGGCATTTGGAGGGCTTAGAGCCAGCCTCTGAGCAGGCAGGGTGCTGAGTCGGCCAGGAATTGCCTGAGCCAGCACCACAGATGGGTAGAGTGCCGGTCAGGGGATTTGAACTTGGATAAACCAGGGTACAAAGCTGGCCCTTGACCCCTCTCATCATGTGACTATCAGGGGCTAAATTCACCTGCCTCCTTGGTATAGACGCACTTCTCACTCGCTGGGCCCAGGTCTCTGAGAGCCTCCTGCCCCACAGCAGAGCTCAGAGGTTCCCACGCTCAGGGCCAGGCCAAGCGTGGGGTTTATGCTACATGTCCCTGAACTGGCATCAGGGTAACTGTGACTCATTCTACAATGAGAGGACGGCCAGGTCCTCTTCCTCTGGAAGGTCTTCTGGTCAAAGAGAAATGTGGCTTCATGGAGTTCTGCTGTGCTGCCAGGGGTGGGTGCCCTTGCCTGCTGGGCATCACATGACCCTGGCCCTGTCTCTTCCCTGCTTGTACCAGCCTGGCTGCCGTCTCCGTCCCTGTATGGCCTCATCATCGACTCCTCCTGCATCCGGTGGAGCTCACAGTGCTCGGGAAGGCGAGGGGCGTGCACCTACTATGACAACGATGCTCTGAGAAACAGGTGAGGCCAACACACAGCAGCTGGCGGCCCTGCCGGCCGCTGGGTGTCTGTCACCTTTCCACGGGACCCAAGGGACCTGAGGGGCCATCTCTGCACAGCGTTCCCTCCAGCCACCTTTTTTGGGGCTGACACACAGTCCAGAAATTGTGGGAGCTACTGGGGCCTGGACAGGGGCTGGACATGGTTTAGGGGGAGAAAGAGAGAAGGTCAGGGGACAGGTACAACAAGAAAGCAGAGAAAAAGTGTCCCTCCCTTCCTCCTGGGTCCGCAGTCTTGGCTTCTGGACGCCAGGGAGTTGGAACTCAGACCAGCAGGAAGCCTCTGCTCTCAGAGAAAGGACCCTGATGGTCTGGCCCTTTGGGGCGCCAGGGAAGGATAAAGACCTCTGGATTAGGATGCTTGGACCTACTTCCTGCGTACTCCTTCCCTACTTCCTACTTCCTCCCTGCTTCCTGCCTCCCTCCTACCTACTCCCCTCCCTTTTTCCTGCCTACTCCCCTACCTACTTCCTTCCTACTCCCTCCCTACTTCCTGCTTACTCCCCCCACTTCCGGCATGCTCCCTCCCTACTTCCTGCATACTCCCTCCCTACTTCCCGCATACTTCCTCCCTGCTTCCTGCATACTCCCTCCCTACTTCCTGCATACTCCCTCCCTACTTCCTGCATACTCCCTCCCTGCTTCCTGCATACTCCCCTCCCTACTTCCTGCATACTCCCCTCCCTACTTCCCGCATACTTCCTCCCTACTTCCTGTATACTTCCTCCCTACTTCCTGCATATTCCCCTCCCTACTTCCTGAATACTCCCCTCCTAACTCCCCTGCCTATTCCTCAACCTATTTCCTGCCTACTTCCCTCTCATTTTCCCTCCCCGGTTCCTGCTTCCTCCTCTACCTATTTCCTAGCAGTTTCCTGCCTAGGCCCTTACTTTCTACCTGCTTACTTCCTGCCTGTTGCCCTGGAGGTTTGTTCCCTGTTGGGGCCAAAAGAACAAAGAAAGCTATTCCCTCCTGGATGCTTGCATCCTCTCACTTGAGAGGCTGATGAGAATGATGCTGTTGTTCCTGGCGGTCCTGGCCTGGGACAAGGACGCCACGCTTTGCCTCCCCTCACTGACCCTGTCTCCTCCTGCTGCACAGGTATCTGGGCCTCCAGGTGGGCTACAAGGTCCTGGGCTTGCTGTTGCTCTTCCTCACCATCTGGAGAGTGAAGAAGAACAAGGAATACAACGTGCAGGAGAAAGCTGCAGACCTCATCTGACCGCGGGCTCCTGGCCACCACCCTGCCCGGGCAGTGGGCCCTGCTGCCCCGACCTGCCTGTATTTACTGATGTTGACTAGTCATTTCCCTTCCCACCCCAGCCATCGTTCTCCCTTACTGCCTCCTCCTCCTCCTCCTCCTCCGTAAGGCCCCCTCATTGCTTCTAAAGGATGCTGAGCCCCTCAGCTGAGGGGGCATAACACTGGAGGACTGGGTCATCCCTGCCCCTTGAGAAGACACACACACACAGAGAAAGAGAGAGAGAGGTTCTCCTTGGCTATGAGTCCTCTGACGTGAATGCTCACTGAGGCTGCTTCTGCCCCATTAGCCCCTAAGTGAGTAGAGAAAATGCCCTTCTTGCCCTTCGGCTGGGCCACTAAGAGCAGGATGACAGGTGAGGGGAAGAAGGGAGTGGACAATGTTAGCAAGAGTCCCGAGCCAGGCCAAGGGAAGGGGGCACAGGAGACGGGAGCCTGCTGGCCCTCTCTTGAAGTGAGGTTTGCTGTCGGTGTGGACGCCCGGAGAAACTAGTCCCTTCCCCCATTAGACCCTTCTGGAAGCCACCGTATTGGATATACTGCCAATTACGTCCCTCTCAGTGACCTACCCAGGCACCAGAGCCATGGTCAAGTGCTGTTGAGTCCGAAATTACTTATAACTAACCCTCCAGCAGGTTATCAGAGGCTGTACATTTCATTGGAGGAGACTGGCTAGCTTTCTCCAGCAGAGCAGCTGGTGGATTCAAACCACATGCCTTTGGGTTGGCTGCACAAAGCTGCTGTGTTGGAAGATACTGCCAACCAGACCCTTCTCCGTTACACACCCAGGAAGCAGGGCAGACACTGAGAAGCCCTGAAGATGAATCATCCGAACGCCGTTCACCTCAGCTCTAGCCGCTTTGATACTTAGCTTTGTACGTTCTTCTCTGTGTTTCCAAGAGCGCCTTTTAACCTGAAGAAGTCACATCATGCTAACCTGACAAGTGGCCTGGGGATGGGAGTGACACTCACGCCCACCCTCGCGGAGTTAAGGATCATCCCCTTATCTTGAATAATGAGGTGGTCCGCCATCTCCTTCCCAGGTGCCTCTGGAGCAGATGAGAAGGCTCATGTGGTCTTACCTGTCTAGACACCAGTCTGTCTGCCGAGAAAGGGTCCAGCGAGGCAGTAGATATCAGCAAAGCAAATGAGTGCGTGCTCACTGCCACCAAACAAGTTGACCCTGTCACCAAATTGGAGGCAGGCAAGGTGGATTTACCTGGATCCACACATGCTTATTGCCATCACCATTTTGGCCTTTCCCAACTTCTTGCAAGATGTCAAGTGCTCTCTGTAGAATGAGTATAGGTTTGTAGGCACTGCTGCTATGTGGTAGAGACCTAAGAGTTAGAAGCCTGTGAAAGAGGCTTCTTGTTAACCAATACTATACATCCTGGAGGCCAGTTTTGCACGAGGCAGTGTGTGGTTGTTTCCCTAGGACGTGGTTTCCCATAGATTTTTACCTCACTTCTCTCCTGCTACCTTACGGCCTCCTCTTGGGGCATGCATGGTGGATCGTCTTGGGGAGGAAGTGGTACAACAGGAATCCAAAGACCACCAACAAGGATCCTAACTTTCTAGGGCTCCATCAGACTGACTTTGAACTTGACTTTTCGCTGAATAGAGACCTGGTGCCCTATGTCCTATTGGAGCAGCTGGCCACAAAGCTTTGCCACACAAGGGCTTGAAACCCACTGTTCATGGAAGTGACCTCCAGCAGCATGCCGTCTCATGCCACCTCCAAGAAGTCCTCCGAGATTATAAGCCAAAAGACCCAATGTCACATCTTTGTGACAAGACAAGCCTTATCTTCAAAGCCACCAGCCCTATTTCCAAAGATCTCGCTCAGGAAGGGGGACGCTATACAACCTCAGGGGTCAGTTTCAGCACATACAGAAGTTCTGCTTGGAAAACGAGTCCCTGGGGCTTTCTGGCAGGGACTTTACCAATTTCTGGAGGCTTCGCCCTCAGCTGGGTTCACAAAACAATGCCAACCTTCAGACTCTGGAAAATTGGTTTCTCGCTCAGATTTTTATTCTGTTATGACTATTGCTATTAATATATTATCATTTTGCTATTGATGTGACTTGGTCATGAATTTGCACTGACATCTACATCCATCAGAAAGCAGAAAGAATTCTACCTTCACAGCAGAGCCCCCCCCCCTTTGTTCTTTTGAGTTAAGGTCTCAGGGTCAATGTCAAGGGCTGGACTCTAACTAGATCTGATCTTTATCCTTGGTGTTAATAGTCCAGAATGGGGTTGGACATAAGCAGTTAAATCCTTGATACAAAACAGAATCTGTTCAGTCATCTAATTGACTTTGCTTGTTCACAGCGAATGATACAGTTCCTGCAGAAACACTTTTCCCCATAAGCACCAGCCAGGACAATAATAGAATGGGCTGTTTTATATTCCAGAGCAAAGATGAGCAAAAATGCAAAACTCTCATAAAAGAAGCTGTTAAAATCCAGATTCCCAACATCCTCCACCCCGTCTTGGAGTCAGTTTCTGTGTATCTGTGGGGGGCCCAGGAATCGCACGTTTAACAACCCTTTCATTGAGGCGAAGGTGGGTGGTCCTCAAATGCTACAATGGGGTGTCATCAGTGCCACAAAGCCTTGGGGACACCCACTTGAGTTCACATTACAAATACATTTACAATCTCAGTAGGCCTTTGGTAAATGCAAGTGTGAGTCAAGGTGAAGAGGAGCCTGTAAATTTTGTTTTCTGGAATATTCCAATCAGGAGAAGAGGTGTTAGATGCCTTCGAGTTGACTGTGACTCATAGTGACCCAGCAAACAATAGATCGGAAGCCTGTTCTATCCTGTTCCATCCATACCATCTCCAATATACTTGAGCCCATTGTTACAGTCACCATGTTGATCCATCTTGTGGAAGGTCTTTCCCTCCTACACTGACCCTCCACCTTCCCAAGATGATGTCCTTCTACAAGGACTGGCCTTTCCCAACAACATGCCAACATATGTGGGACGAGGCCCATGCACTCACGTTTATGCGAGCCACTTTAGAGGACTGAGAATGAAACTCTTACTCCATAAGCTTAAGTTTTCAAAACAGATCACAGGTCCGTCTTGAAGCCAATTAGATTTGACTTCAAGTCGCAGTCTCACTGACTGACTAGCAGTTCAACAGCAATCATACTTCACTGTGACCCCAGAACACACACAGGCCCTTGGATGCCTGTGCGTTAAAGAAGGCTGCTCAGGGTCTTTGAATAGTCATACCCCAAGGACTGTCTGTATATTTATAAACTCTGCGTCGTCCAGAGCTTCCTGGTGCAATCCTCACCACAGCTTCGTGGTGAAGGCCAGGATGTTATTAAGGCTCCAACTGAGGGTGAGGAACGTACGATCCAGGAAAGATTATCATGACTAACGTCACACATACACTAGCTGACGTGGCCTGGACTCATCTCTGTCTTCTCCAGCACAAACTCACCTACTGAATCATTTCCAAGATGGTAGGGAGGCACCCTCTTTTCTCCAGGGGTTCGCTAGCCTGTGAGAGAGCGGTGGGAGAATCTATGGAGATCCACGTAAGGTGGACCTCAGTCATATTTTCATTTCCTCTTGAATTCAAATTGCAAGAACACTTTGACTGTTTATTAAATGGTGTTGCTTCAGCCCTGGAGCAATGTGAGTTAGAGAGTCAGGGAGAAAAGGGAGACATATTTGAACAATGAGAATAAGGCTTTGACAAGAGAATGTCCTAAGAAAGCTGCACACAGGCAAACCTTCGCGGGGAACACCTCATGCAGTGACTGGTCAGTAGGCTTGCCTAGGACACAGAGCCAGAGGGTGTGTGTGTGTGTGTGTGTGTGTGTGTGTGTGTCCCCTCCGGCTTAAAACATACTGTACACCGTCAAGTTAGGACCACCCCATAGTTTGACCCTCCAGTGGGTTTTCAAAGGCAGTAAATCTCACAAGAGAAGATTGCCCATCTTTCTTCTGCGAAGGCACTGGTGCATTCGAACTGTGTGCCTTTGACATGGCAGCACAGCTCCTTAGCACTAAGGGGGGAGGGAATGAATCCAAGCAGTAGCATAATGATATTAAAATATTGAGGTTCTCATTGAGATTGGCAGTGGCTGTGAGAAAAAGCGAGAGAAAAACTCAGCAAACCCAGAGACAAATATTGTCTTTCACAAGCACTGAATACCTGGAAGATATATTTTCCTCCTGCCAAAAGCACTGGTTCATTATAACCTTTCATCAGGGATTAAATATGTGAGCGGATCCCAGGCAAGCCGTTGGCAGATCATAAACAAGAGGAAGTTTTTCTCCTATGACACACTCAGCCCATTCACCCCCCACTCCACCCCATTCCCACGCTGTGTTGGAGCCCCGGGTTCACCTCACCTTGCTGAAGTCCGGGCTCTCTGCCCAGAAACCTTGAGTTTTCACCATCCCTGAGAGGCTGGGTGACGAGTTCCACTTTACGGATGGAGAAAATAAAGTCCCTTCCTGTGATCACCATTTCTTCTTTCATTCCTTTCATAGCTGATGTCTGTGAGAACAAAACATTATCCAGCACATGGCCTCTACCTTCAAAGACATATCATGTACATGGAAAGAAAAACTTCTATTGGCTATCTGAAAGTCAATAAAAGTGGTATGCTAAAAAAAAAAAGTGGTATGCTGCAGTAAGGGTAGTCTAAGGTTGAATATATTCATCATTAAAAATACTGAAAATGTAGGGAGCTCTGGTGGCCTAGTGGCAAGAAGCTGCACTGCAATCCCAGAGGTACGAGGTTCGAATCCACCAGATGCTCTGATGGAGAAGGAGGGGCAGGCAATCTCCTCCTGTACCAGTCAGACCCAATTTGACAGTACAAACGCGCGTGCATGCGCACACACACACACACACACACACACACACACACACACAAAATAAAAATACTGGAAATGTAAAAAAGAAAGGATTGACTATACCACAGA